AGAGAGAGAGAGAGAGAGAGAGAGACAAAGAGAGAGAGAGAGACTGACCGAAGGAGGGGTAAATAGTATCCTCGTATGTCAACCCTGGGACTTTTCACTTTCACACTGACTGCTGATTAAGTCTCGGGTGGGTCCAGCACAAAACTACCCCCCCACCCCCACCCCCTTCCAACACATTCAGTTCTTAAGAAAGTCAAAGTTCATCTACCCCTATCGAATGTTTTGTTATAGAAAGGACGAAGTAATATTGTTCCAATTGTACTGACTGTCAAATTGTATGAAGTCCACACTATTATATTATATCACTAACTAGACATCTCAATCTTTCGTTTCTCGCCCAAGAGGAGAAGTCGGTATGTGGTCGTTTGTGCAGGTGATTGTCTTGAGCAGGTGGCTGTTAAGAGCAGGATCGACTGCAATTCCTCAAGTTTTTTTTAAAATTTTAGTAAGAGACCTACCCCTTTCCCCTTTTATTATTCTCCACCTTCCCATCATTCTATCCAAGTTTTGTTCAGTCTGGCCTCTCTCTCTCTCTCTCTCTCTCTCTCTCTCTCTCTCTCTCTCTCTCTCTCTCTCTCTCCCCTCCCATTTTTTCCTCTCAAATAGTGAAATATTTATCTGTTATGAGGAATCCCTGGAATGCATAAAGAGGAAACAAGCAGACAACTTAACGTCTCCGCTCAAAACAATTTATGAGACGCTGGAAAAACATATTCGTCGAAATTGATGCCAAGGCGAATTCTAATAACGTAACTATAAAATTCTGCAATTTGAAGAAGAAGAAGAAAAAGAAGAAGAAGAAGAAGAAGAAGAAGAAGAAGAAGAAGAAGAAGAAGAAGAAAAATTGCATTTATATAGCGCCTATCCACGCTCCACAGCATTCTCTAAATCCACGCCCTATAACAAATATACCCCAATGAATGTATAATATTGATATCAAATATAATATTTGTGATGACGTTTTATCTCAGATCTGAGCTGGCGTGTGGAGCAGTGCGGTTCGTACCCCGTGACAAGGCGAGCCCTCTGGTGGCGTTGGCGAGTTTCCCAGGATCTGGTAATACCTGGCTACGTCATCTCGTGCACCTGTCTACTGGTGAGTGACAGACTTAGTCTAAAGTGTGTCGACGGGGACGTAAAAACATCTACATTTAAAAAAGATTTGATCATTAGATATCTGCGATCGTGGTTTGCCCTTCATTCCTTGGCTTGAATCTCTCAAAAAAGCGATGTCATCTTTATCTTTCCACTACCACCCATCTTTTTAGCCTAAGTAAGTGGCTGTAAGTCTACCACTGCCCGGTTTACCTTCAATTGAAGAGGTTATTTCAATAACGTACCAAAGTCACACGAGGGTCGTTTTTGAGAAAAAGGCCAAAAACTGTTTCTCGTTAATATAGGATTTCACTGGGAAAGGCGAGCTAAAACAGAGGACGTAGCTCTGAAAATCAAAGATGCAGTCTCAATTGAAGGAGACAATAAAGTGATGTCTTTCTTATATTTCCACTACCACCCATCTGTATAACCTAAGTAAGTTGCTGTAAGTCTACCACTGCCTGCTTTACTTTCAATTTAACCAGGAAGAGCCAGACGTTCAAGACCCTTTCATATCTATACAAATGTCCCAGAATTGCACCCGTCTCTTGTTAATTGCTCTTTATCAATATTTCTGATGACTAAAAGTATGTCAGATGAAGAGTAAAATGTTAATAATCTTTTTTTTTCCAGGATTCTATACGGGCAGCGAGTATTTCGACTATGACTTGCACGAGTCAGGGTTTCTTGGGGAGGGAGTGAGGAACCGATCTGCAATTCTCGTAAAAACTCACGACTCTGACGAGGTCACGAGAAGTCGTTATGACAAGGTTGTTCTACTCATGCGCAGTCCGAGAGCCGCCATCTTGGCCGAGTTCAACCGAGTGTACAGCGGAGACCACCGAGGTCTTGCATCACGGGAGAACTTCCTGAAATGTACGTCACAATTTTTGAGGGGATGATTTTGGTAAAAGTGTGTCTCTGTTTTTTTTACTTCTGTTTACCCTTTCTGTCTCAGCGTCTGTGTATGTGTGTGTGTGTGTGTGTGTGTGTGTGTGTGTGTGTGTC